ACAGCAATTATTTGTTTGCATTGATTTACGGAACAGCTTATAATTTCTGGTTCAGTAATTTTCTATCCCTCGTCATGCTTTATTTCAACCCGAGTTCAGAGAATATAATAATCATGGATAGGATATAAGTATTAATAAGTTGTTCAGCTTATGGAACAACTGTCTGCATCCAAGCGTGATTGGACACCGTGTCGAAGCGAAAACAGCAAAATGAGATTTTTTTTTAATGTATACGACATTTTCCATTGCATTTCCTTTATTCAAGCTCATTTACAGAAAATAATACGTTTCTTTTCAAAATGCGAGCATTCGAGAATTTTAATGCATTGCCACAGGTATATAATTTACATGTGTGCACTTAAATGTCAATTTTCGGACACTAGCCTGCACGTTTCAGATCGGGGAAGTGTACGAATGATCATCAGCCTCTTTCTGAATAAGTGTAACCGACGGTGGCGCTGTCTGTGAGAGTGTGAAGTTGTCCCCTGCATTCGTCCGGAGATAAGAATATTCGTCCATTTGTTCTTATAATTGCGAAACAAATTGATCAAAAAACTGTTTTTTAATGGAAAACCCCATAGTAAGACATATGGCATCCATGACAAGACATGTGGCAGGCTATTTCAGTTTATGGTGAAGGCAATGTTGTCTTCTAATATCGTGCAAATGTAAAGCTATGACGTCATAAAACCCTCTGAGTCTGCCAGTGGTGATTTATGATATGTAGCCAACCACGTGACTTCGTGCACTTACCATCTGAAAGTACAGCTGTTGTTCACAAGTTGACATGAACGTTGATGTCATTGTCAACTTTCTCTGCCCATCATAATATACTAAACGTAATCCCAGTCTATTTCGTCTGAATGCGAAATAACTGGGCTGATTTTGTTTCACGATTCTTTAATATTTAAAAACAGAATTACGCCATCACTTTTTCCACATAATAACACTGCCGGAAATAAAAACAGGTCGTACCTGGACGTCTGATTTTGTGAATGCGGTGTGGGTGGCTATATCCACTCATCCGTTGCACATGGCACAGTAGTACCGCTAACAGCGCCTGTTTGTGATCTGTTAACACATTCATGAAGATGTTCGGAAAAACAAATAAGCAAAGAACTAAAATGAGGGTCGGCAAGGGGTATTTTCGTCAGCTGTAATCAATTGTTTTGTGTTTTTTTGTAATAATGTAATTTAAATAAATAAAAAAACGTAAATTCGTAGACATTGGAGAAGGTCTAAAATGTAATCGGCTATTTTACTTTTTGTAAGTGTATAAAGCACTTTCAACACAATGCAACGCAATTTTCAATTTTGATTCTTAAACACAATTTGCTTTATCTGTAAAGTGTAAAAAGCTGTACTGTAAATGGAACTTTCCTTTTTATTTCTTGTAAAAACGTTAAAAAATGACAAATCAATTGACAAAGCCAGCCCACCAGAGGTCTATTAGGAGCGCACCATCCTTACCAAATTTCTGGATCTGCCAGAGACTTCCGTATGTTTTTGTCCGATCCAATGTTGCTGACTGGCGACATATATGGTCTTACATCTATTGTAAGAACATGACGCAGGGGTTGGTATTACTTGCAGATTACGAAGTTGGGGAAGATATTGATTCACTCTCCACACAAGAGCTTGTACTGCCAGAGTGCGCAAAGCAAGCTGACAGCGCCCTCTGTGTGGAAAGCGATACGTGCTGGGTCCTACGATGGTAACTGAGTTTCCATGTACACTTGTTTATAGGATACGATTCAATAACGATTATATTATTATATATGGAAGTGTACTCCGTGTTCATGAAATTAAATATAGTCGCTAATCTAACTTTCACAAAGAATACAATTATTTTTTGCATCTATTTAGAAAATACATATTTTTCTGGGTGAAATAAGTGCAATAAAAAGCGTATGAATAAACTAAGATACTTATTTGGAAAAATGTAATCAGATATTGATGTTGGATAGGAAATTATATTTTATTCAAATCCAGTATTGAGTTTGTCCTCATTGTCAAACGTGTGTGAGATGTATCATTTGTGCATCTACAGGTCTTTTTCTGATGATTGTACCTCGAGAAGTACGTTGGGGGGAAACGCCCAGCAGTGAGGACTTTTACTGAGGATCCAAACAAAATCAAATTATGAGGAGAGAATGATATAACTTCAAAAACACGATGATTAGTAGGGGGAAATCACACGAGACTGAAAATCTAACTCAAATAGGTCAGTTTCTGTAAGGTTTGAAAGAGCTTCTTGTAAATTAAAATTAGTGCAGAAGTATTCGCTGATGAAAGGAGCGACTTGTACACATTCTTAGAGACTGTATGCAAGTCTAACTTTAAAGCGGGGGAGTCGACACCTGCGCATGCGTCAGACGGCCATAGCATGTCATTGTTTACAAACAAGCGTCTGCCCATGATTCTTTGCGTTTTTAGCGCGTGTTGCTATCGTCGCTTGGGACTCAATTCCCGCGCGTGCGCAGGTGACGACCTTCCCGATTCAATATAATGTAACTCAACGAAAAGACGTTTTTGTGGAACATAACTGTTTGAAATAGTATCATCAATGGATAACTGAGAGATGCCGAATATTCAGAACATTGGATTCGATTGTGAAAACAAGTTACAATTTAAAACAGAATCTTAAAACTTGTATACATAATACTCTGTTGTTGTTTTTTTGCTATCTATCTGTCACATCTGTACTCGTGTCTAAAAATCTTCCAAACTGTGAACTCAAATTGTTCATCTGTATTACTTGTTATTTATAACTCCAGTTTTTGAAATTGAAGATACAAATACTCTTAAATTTGTCGCAGGTTGATTTCATCTGATAATATCGTTGGTTTGATATGTACAGCTGAATCTAACATCAGCAGCATGAAAACCATTGTCAGAAATGTTCTTCCTTAAATTTCATAATTTTTATAACTCATCAAACCTATAGCTGAAAATGAATCAAATAGTTCTCCCAAAATAATATGATGCTATAAATGTATATTAATGCTGTGTGTCTATCAGACAGTAAAACTGAACTTGCACTTTACTATTTGGCCATAATTGGACAAAATAGACTATAGTGTGAAGAACCAACTAATAATCGATTAGTATGTCTTCACATAGTGCATCAACAATAGAATAAAACAAGATAGAAACATAATTAACAGCCATCTGTAATGCAAATTAAAATTGGAAAACAGAAATGAACAAATTAATGGGAGAATAAAACAAAACTAAAACATACCAGAAATGAAAATGAAACAAAAATGAAAATATAATAGTAACTTTGTCAATAATAAATATTAAAGAACCTCATAGGTGAAAATGAACCCAAATTTGAAAACTTATCAAGCCACAAAATCAAACATTGTGACAGGAAAAAGCACTGAGCTGATTTCAGGTTCATTCTAGAGCAGATCTCCTGGCAATGTCATGTCAGGCAAAGGCCTTCACAACAAATTATTAGTTTTTGTACATACGAGTAAAGTAGGGACTTTGTTTGGATGATTATTCATGTCGTTCCATGTACAGAGCAAGTAAACATTTGCATATATAGCCAACTTATTTATGACGAATCATGAATTGTCATGTAATTAACAAAAATCTGTTTCAAAAGTTCACAAATTTTTTTTTTTTAAATAGCAAAGATGACAGTGGAGTTAATCTGATGGGTTTAAAGAGCCCAGGAATATACATTCACATTTTCAGACCTGTTAATGTTCTTATTCATCATAGTAGACTTTCACAGACCATGGAGGTGAAAGGCAATTCTAAATGGAAAATGTACCAATGTACACTACTGTTTACCTGTACAGGGGGCAGCAGACAGATAATCTCCTATACCAACAGCTCTGCCCGTCATTTTTAAGATGCTAAAATAGCTTCTCCAAATTTGCATTATGATCACCTTCGTACAAGCCTATATTCGGGTGAGCATAGACTATCCCCCCCCCCCCCATCGCTATTGAATATCTTTATGCGGGGGTTAGTTTTTAATCTTGCACACAAGATGGAATATTCTCGATGATTATCAATATTATCATTAAAAGAAAAACCAAGTAGGTCTAGGGTGTAAAAAAAAATACACATCTTGTTCTAAACAGACTTTATTCATCAACAAACAAAGAAGCAAAATATAAAATTGATTGAAAGCATACTAAAGTTTCTGACAAAGACACAAAACATTTAAAACATTCTACTGATACAGATGTGTTAAGAACCAATCAGCTGTGTAAATATTTTAAAAACAAATGCTACTGGTAATTAAATTTCATCAGGATTAAACATAGAAAGATCAAAGGAGCTAAAAAATATAGGAGAGGACAAATATATATGAAGTTTTGATGACAAGAAGATAGAACACAGCTGATGTATACCAAATAGCTCTGAGTAAAAGTCACAAATACATATAAGCAAATATCACATTCATCTTTGTTAAAAAAAAAAATCTGAAGTGTCAACAATTTAAAAAAACTTGCGGCACCCAAATAAAACCATCAAAGCACATTTGGTAGAAATATTTTACATGTATTATTTTGAAAGCCGATGTACATGCTAAAGACATTTCAATACTAAATAAAAAAAATTTGTCAGAATCCAAAGAACATTGTTGTGTATTTTTTGTTATTATCAGCTCTTTGTGATCATCAAAAATTATATTAATATGTGGCAGTGATGGTCTAATAAAAGGTCTTTAACAAGTATAAAAGCTAGATATTGACTATAGTATTACATTGCACTAAAAATAAAGTTGTCATAATACAATTTTCAAGCTAGTTGAGAATTGCAATACAATGCAAAGCCCAACCCACATACAATGCATTAGGTATAATAAGTGAAGCCACTTTTCACTTGCCAAAATTATTTTTGAAAAAAAAACCTTTGTGGCAGTGTTTATATTTCCCTTAACTTGTTCATGGTTGCCAAATCTAAACAAGATTAGGTATGATAAATAATGCTACAGTAGTACTTTTTCGTGTACGATAAGTTCTGGCCGCCAGTTAACCCGACCAATATAAATAAACTATATCATAATCACAATATACATCATTTTGAAAAAGTTTCTTTTTTTTGGATGGTTAGCAATTCCTTAAATTGACAACTGTAAATATTAAAATCTGTAATGAACCACAGAAGACGTTCCTTGATTAATATATTGTGAATAAATGAAGATCATCTTTTAAAGAGCTCAGGATAGGAAACTGAAGATTTACGAACATCTTGGTTATTCTCACAAAGCCACAACTAAAAATTAAATCCAAGGTTTTCTCTTCTTCACCTGCACTCAGAACATTTAGATTACCAGTCATTAGCAAATATCAGTTCCTCACATGAACCAGCAGAAAGTTATTGAGACTTCAGGTTGTTCAAAATGCACTGGATACTTGCTTGTACACACAATGTATATATCACATTTATGAAAGACAAATACGGATAAGTCTGTTAAGTATTCTATGCCCAACTATGTTTTCTTGTACATCTTTCTGGTCTTTTACCAAGATAATCACCAGAACAGAACGTGAATTGTTTGGAACCTTTCCCACTGTTTTTTGGTGACCTGGAACGATTCCTTTCTTGTAGTCTTTTTGGTCTGCTTGGTCGGTAGTTCGCAGCAAATGCTTTTAAAGCCTGCAAAGAAATACACCTTTAGTTATATAGAGCAAAGCAATATTCAAGAAATAACAGAATGTGTTTGTGACATAAAAAGTGCATCAGCATGCAATTAAAAAATACTAAGATGGGAAACAGACGAGAAATGCGAGGCAGATATTTTACTATACTGCCTACAGTTTTGTTTCAAATATGGTAATTTTGTATTGTAGACATTTGACCCTTAGAAAGTTTACAAACTTTTTATAGAATCTCAGAAAAACAGGTTTTACATTCATACACACAAAGAAGTTGGACAAAATATAATTCATATCATTTTAGTGTCCATACTTACTATTGTAAGATAATTTTTATAACTTGTATGTGCTACCCTAAAGTTAACGCCCCTTTTTTTGTCGATCTACACGTGTCATTAGTACCTGGTCATTGTTATCTGTTAAATTAATTATTCATTCTTGATTCTCATGCAGACTCAACAGTTACAAGTTTTTATATGGTGGCAAGAGGCAACACAGACTTGACATTTCATTTTGAAACTACATGACACCCCAGCAGCAGGCAAGCTAAAAACTACTATTTTTAGTATCTCATTCAGCATTCAAAAACAAAAAAAGATGGACCATCCCCCTCCAAGCAGGAGGTACAGTAGTTCTTTTTTAAATAAGGGGAAAATCTCCAGCTTCTAAATTTTTTACCTGAGGACAATTGATCTCATTTTCTTTCCCAGTTCTTAGACGACTTGGCACAGGAGCTGTCAAATAGTCAGATTCTGCATTATTACCTAAACGAGGAAGCATAGAAATAAATGGTCAAGACATGCAGAAATTAGTTATTACACTTCTTAAAGGAATACATGATAAAGAGTCCTTATTTGGTGACATAAAACAAGGACCAGAAATCACATCCTATTTGAAGTGTCTGTAAATTGATGGTAAAGATGCTAAGAAAGTCAACAAGCAGCCTCTCAGCTGAGATAGCTCTGCATGTAGCAAAGCACATTTCAATTAAAGAACTAAAGATATCATTAGATAATGAACAAATCTGAAGGACGTCTACCTGAGGTACCTATATGTATAATATCAAAGCAATCAGACTTGCTGTTTTTAACAAGAAGTCAAAATTATCACTTTTACCCAAAATGACAAAAGTATCCATCAAAATTAGAGAATTGAAGATATCATCACGAAATGAACAAATCTGAGAAAGGAATACCCTAAGTAGCTATGTTGCGAATATGAAAGCATTTGGTTTTAAAGTTTTGAAGAAGAAGACAAAAATGTAAAAAGTTGACGACATACTACAGGCGCCGGACAATCAGTAAAATGAGAGCTCTGCGTTGTTGACTTTGTCGACAGTGGGGCTAAAAAGCTAACTGAAACCCAAGCAATGAAAATACAGAGGCGTGGCCAACTGAGACGTTAATCTAAACAACTTAGGGTGTGCCATTTATTTGTAGGAGTTCATTTGACCCATCATCTTGGGCTCGCCAAGAATATCACTTTAATGTTTATATTTATCAAACAGAAGTAAGAAAAAATGTGCAGAAATTCCATCTGTGTACAAGTTGAACTAACGCTGCAGTGCCAACCTGTTCGCATAGGGCTAAAAGTGAAGAAAGTGTACATCATTTAAAACTAGCTGAAAGAACAAATAAATTCTTTTATTTCGGCCAAACAAAATACCTTCAGGGGTGATTACATGCTGTTGGTCACACAACAACTTGAACTTATTTTAAATATATTTTGGATCACTTTCGATATAAAAGAAATATTTCAATGCCATGCAATTTCTGCCAGAATGCTGTATTGATCAAAGAATTAGAAATTCTTGCAAAGTTTTAAGACATTTAAGACATACCTGTGGTTATATTCCTCATGATTTTTTGTAATTTGTTTAAAAGAACTCTAGCATTTGTTAATCTTCTATAAGGGTCTGGGTCGATCAGATTTCTGAAAAAAATATATAACCAAGTTACATTAAGAAAACACGCAGACAGACAAACATGTTACAATAGACCATTATCCGTTCACTGCGAGATCATGCGTTATGTGAGAAATCAAACGTAAAAACAGGACAAACAAAGGTCATAGCATCGTAGTGGCAACAAACATCGCGTAGGAGTTAACAAATGCGAAAGTATATTTCTATGCTCAATAATGTGCTGTACACATTTGACGATGGTCAATTTTGATGAAGTAAGGGTATTCAAAAGCAATATTCCCCTGTCAAAGATCAACCTTTCGATAAGAGCTATGAAATAAAGAAATTCAAGTTTAAAATCAAATCATTCTATTTTTGCAGCAGGCACTCAACCATGTCTTTCACGGAACTCTTGAGATCTTGCAGTTGAACGGAAAATCACCTATTAAAAAGGTTTTAGCAATACACCTGAAATAGGAAATAACTTTGTGTATAATTAATTAATGAGTTAATATAATCGACATTATACCCACCTAATTAGATCTATAAGCTCAGGATGGTCTCCACAAATAAGCTTGTCACGGACACATTTGTCAATAACCCTATCGATATCCAACCGTTTAGTTGCATGTGAGATTGCTTTTTGACATTTTTTGAGGCTATGTTTGGTTCTATCCAATAACTGAAATAAATATGATAAGAGTTGTGACAATCAATCACTTACAATTCAAATCAGATATACAATGTAGTATTTATTTGTAAAAGATAGAAACTACTCTGATAAAGACGGAATTAAAATCATAACCCTGCTCCTCCAGCAGGCCTTCTCGATTTCAATTATTTACACTCCTCTTTGTGTCACTTAGAATTGTTTGGAGGGGCATACTGAATAGGGTTAGTGTTCAGGTTATGGGACCTCAAGAAACTCCCTAAACTGCAGGAGAAATTACAGACAACTCAAGTTGAGAACATATTCATTAGAACAAAGAAAAGACTTACCATACTAAAGAGCATTACTCCTAAACTGAAGAAATCAACTGATTTAGGTTCATATACAGTCTCACCATCCATTTCACCCAAACAAATTTCTGGTGCATCATATCCTTTTGTACCGCATATTGTGTGCATTTCTGCCTCATAATATCTCTCTGTTTTTGTAGCTAAACCAAGGTCCAAGATTTTCAGTTGTTCTCCCTGTAACGCAAACAAATAAATATAGGTAACAGCATTGTTTAATTATACCATATTTGCTCCAATGGAATGCCATATAAACCAAAAATCATTTGCTGTACAAATGAATCATTAAAATATCTATTTTACTAAAGAAACACCTAATTTACATAACCGCATGAACCCATTAGCATAACTACTGTAATTTATTTACCATACATTTTGACAGCAAGACTTTAACTTCAAAATAAAAGTTGACACCTAATTTCCCAACAAAAACCAACAAAAGTGAGTTATTGTATGGTATTAGTTTCAAGGGCAGCAAGTTAGTAGGACCTCAATATGACATCACGCTCAACTTATAAATACATTGTAGCATTTTAAAAGCCCCCATTCCAACTTACAACTGCCCTATATAATAGTTGTGTTTACATACAGCTCCTTGGCACTGACTAAAAAATGTATGTGAACAGTGTGGCCAAGAGTATTGGCTAAATTTTAATCATTTTAAAACCCTCGCTAACTGGAATCAAATACTAGTATACACAAATTTTCATTTCCAAAATGGCAACTCATCCTTAGTGTATCCAAAAACCTGGAGTGACAAGAGACAATAGTCTTATAAAGTATATGGAAAGACAATGAAATTCTCAGACAGATACCATAATATACTTTTTGTGAATTGAGTATATCAATACATGTTATGTATTGTGTACTACTTTTATGTAAAGTTTGAACATATCATAATTGGTCAATGCAATGCCAAGGAACAGGTGACATTTTACCCTACTTTTTGACCTAAAAACCAGGTTGGGAAAAACAACACAATTCCAGATGAAAGACTTTACAAATGTATGAAAATGCAATTCACTTTTTTTTATTACTTTTTATTCCCTATATATTCAACTTTATCAGTATTATTGTAGTCCACCATCTTGATTCTCCACAGAATTGTGAGTAAAGTATGACAGTCAATACGTTGGAAACATCAATGAAAAATTGAGAAAATGATTTTGCCTGACTTACACCTGACAAGGAATATTCAAAAACTATTTTGCATTCTCCTACATTTGGAGAGCTTATTTAGAATCATCAGGTTTGCCTCGACTTTCCCTTGCAGATCTGAAAACAAAACTGATTTGCAAATGTACATTTAGGGATACACATTTGCAGCAAATTTCATGAAAATCTGTCAAGCATTTCAGAGTTGCAATGTGGCATAGCTTTTCAGTTGCTTTTTTTTTAAAAACGAAAAGTGCCCCAAAATACTCTTTTAAATGTACATGCAGTGTTCCCCAGGATGTAAACAGCGTGGCGGTCCCGCCACAGTGCTTTGATTTGCCGCCACACTGGTCTGACACCGCCACAGTGATTAGCAAGACCGCCACAGTGCTTTTTTCATTGGGGATCTCATCAAGCTGGTCGGCCCGACCGGCACTCAAAATTAGCGACCACCACGGAAACGCTTCCGACCAGGACTATTGCCATATTGTTATTATACTTAGGTACCGACCGACACGCATCCTGCCAGTCGTGGATAATAATTTGTAAACAATAACATAGTACCGCGATTGAACAATACAAGTCAATTTTGTAAAATTAGCACCTCTTTGTAAGTAAATACTTTCTGACGATAGACGCAGTCTTTAGATTGAAAGCTAAAATTCTTTCAAAATCAATTCCACCCGATGTAACATGGGCAAAGCGGAGTTCACGATCAGTTTACGCTACTCAAGAAAAAACAACGTGTTTATTGCGTGATTGGGTAAAATACATTTGAACTGTTATCATGAATCATGTAAAAACTCCTCTTTCAAGACTTCTTTTACCTTTTAAAAATTTCTAATCACCTCTTTCGAAAACCATCATGCAGTTTTCATCTAAAAAATTCATACCAACACATCGTGCTACGACATCGCTTTACTTCCGCAATGTAATTTTTATGATCACGATCATTCGGAAAACCTCGGGTTCTACCGGCATTACCATGCGGCATTCTGATTCGTTAATGGCGTTTTTGACCCACCGGGTCAAAGGACACATGCCGGTCAACTAATGCGTCATAACTATCACGGCGGGTCTGTGTTTTTCACCGAAGTGATCGAGTGATCAAAAATAACTTCTCCCGATAAAACTAGTTCAAATTTTATGTTTTTCTCATATAAAAAAAGAAGTATTTAATTTTTGCATGGCATCACGACCGAGTAATAAGAATTATTCATCACGAAGTAAGTTATGTCACGTCATAATTTTGATGATCGTCGGAATAATAACCAGCAATCCGCCAAATAATTACGTGGTCGATTTTTTGAAGGAGAATTTTGTAGTAAATAAGATCATGAAAGTCGTGAACATAATCCTGGCTCAAACGTTTCAAATTAGTTTCATTTAACCTTTTACAATTTATTTGTTTCTTTTTAGTCTGCAGCATTTGCATTTCGAGAATGTTAAATTTTTAAATTCAAACTCTTCTAAATTGTGAAACATAATATTTTGACTCCAAAAAAAAAATATATTTGCACTGTGACAAAGCTCATTAATATTACAAAAGTGCCCAAAATAAAAGTGTTTATAACACTGTGTGAAGCAAATAAATATCTGCCACTTGGTTTTAAAATATATGTTGTTTATTTTGTGGGTGTAAATGTGCTTTGGTCAATTTCTATTATGTAAATGATATGCAAATTATATGCAAATTAGTATGCCACAGTGATTTAAATTCCTGGGGAGAACACTGACATGAATAAGACAATACATCACATGTGTACCAAGTTTGAATGAAAACCGTTTCATGTATGTCAAAGATATGGTCGAAGATGGACGCATACACTGAAGTGAAGTGACAACATCCCTGTCTGCAGGGGCTAATTACTTAATAAACTTCTAACTCATAGTCCCATGTGCACACTAATCTTAAGATAATTTGTGATAACAGTTTCAAAAGGAACTCTTTACTTACCTTGACTAAAATATTCTCCAATTTTAAGTCTCTATGTGCAATGCCCTGCGAGTGAAGTGATTGCACCATTTGAACAACAGAATAAAATATTTCCAACACCACTTCAACAGAATGAGATCCTGTATACCGTTCCAAATGTGTTGCAAGGTCATGATCTCCTCTTTCTAACACAATTCCTAATCTGTAAGTCCTTTTCCCATTTTCATCTTCATCTGGCACAATTGTTAATCCTAATATTTTAACTACAGAATTAAGCAACTCTTGGCACTCGCTGGTAAGAAAAAGAAAAAATTCAGTGTAATGGAAAAAAGTGTAGGACTTGTACAGTTACATTAAACTTTTCATTGACGACAATGTTACAAGCAGGGTTTGAAACAAAGACAAACTCCTGGAAATGGAGCCTCGAACCTTACAGTACGGTAATTCATATTCATTGATGTGCAGAAGATATGGATGCATACAGGTATTATGATTGTGGAACTTGATAAAAACAATTGTGCTCCTGGTGAAATAATATAATGCATGAACTTACCACAAAAGATCTATTTCTTGCACTGCATATTCTAATTCTTCATCATCCTTAATTATTTTGATAACTGCGTGCATTTCCTCACCTCCAACTTTCACGACTGCTTCACATACTTTACTCTGTCCTCCATTACTAAGTTGATCACCAAGCCAGATATCATTTGGTTGAAGCTGATAAATGGGACATTCATACTGGAAAAAAAATGTACAAACCTGAGTTTGTGGAGTGGTGTGCATTTCTACCGTACTTATCCGGGTAAGAGCCCATGCCTGGACAAACGCCCACCCCCCACTTTTGACACAATAAAGAAGTTGAGGTCATATCCGGGCACGCCCAGAGGGTCTTTTTCTATACAAAACAAAAAAAAATATTTTCTATTTGTTGACTGTGGTTGTATTAACTGTTGACTGTCTTGAAGTCTGTCGTTAAAATTGTTAATTGCGTAAAACAAGGGGTGAACGCAAAATAGCTGTGACAGCTTTCTGGCTTCAGGGCAGCGCGTTCACCGCTGATTTTTTTCAGAATCATAACAGTCAGGAAGTCTATAAAAATAAATATTAAAGCAGAAATGGTAGTTCTCTTTTTGAAATATGTCATGGCCGTAAAAAGGACTGTTTGGTGTGTGCTTCCTTAGAAACGATTCAAGCAAATCGTACAAGGAGAGCCACTAAGCAAGTGTCTCACTCATTCGGCTTTAGCGTCATCGACAATGAAAAAATGATGCAATATTGTAGCAACCCGTACCTGGCAGAATGGTTGAAACCACTCTGTTTTTTTGGCTTTATAAATAATTTGTAGCAGCTTGTGAATCCATAACTGGGGCCAGCAATTTTGCAATGTCACGCCGAAGACTGCCAACTTTTTTACAATCTTTTATCACCACTATTGCATTTCTGTCATGAAAACTATTCCTTCTGTTCACAGTCCCTCAACACCGGTATTGAGGGACTGTGTTCTGTTGTTGGATAAAAAAAAACTTCCTATTTCAAGTCCACCGCGATATCCATATAGCGAGACATTTCAACTGCCGGAACTTGCTGAATAATGACTTTCACAGTGATTAATAAGCGTCGAGTCTGAAGAAAGCAATGTCACGATTTGACCTTTATGATGAAATCCTAGTAGTTGATGTCATTCTTAGCCAATCAGTAAAGCAGATGCATAAAGGTCAAAAATGATTGCTAGATTGTAAACAAAATCATCTTGTGCCATCGCAGCAGAGCGACCCCATTTTTCTTGTCTCTTTATTATGATTAGACATGAATGAAAAGTGCCAAGCTGACAGACTGCAAAATCCATGGATTAAAAGTGCCAAGTCCAAATTATGTGGGACGATATCGACGAACTTCAGGAATAAGTTGTAGGGATTTTGTTCGACGGCTAGTGACGCCGACTTGGACATTTGAGGGTTTTGAGTTTGACGAAGATGGCAATGAAC